TTGTTTTATCGTCCCATCTTTAGAGTTTAAGAAGTTTCTGCAGAGGAAGTCCAACTCCATGTACAACTTTGAGCAGCCGGTCATCATGAAGGTGAGTAAAACACCTCCAGAGATTTAGGAAACGGTGAACTTCAGAGACGCTCACCGGCTTTTCCCGACTCTGTCGTCTTCAGGCCTTCGAGCATCTGCAGCAGCTGGAGCTGATCCGGCCCGTCGACGGATCCTCGGCCAAAACTCAGAGGGAGTTCCAGCTGATGAGGCTGATGCTGGACCACACGCAGATCATGGAGGCCCTGCAGAAGTACCCACAATGCCCCACGGACGTCAAGCAGTGGGCCATGTCGGCGTTCGGCTGACGAGTTTCTGCACCGGGACTCTTGTTAATAATGTGAACTTACACCTCAGAGTTTGGAGATTCACACGAGAGACGCTGGTTTGGTTTCTGGTTTTTCTCCTCGCTGCAGATTCTGGACTGAATCTCCTTTAAGACCGAAACAAACTGGAGGTCGGCGCCGAGGAAAAGCTTCACTGAGCGACAAACGTGGACGTTTAAGGTTTCACAGCTGAATAAAATGAAAAAATAAATCATGAGTTTTGCTTCTTATTTTAAATACCTCCGTCATAAATTGCACCATGTGGCTCAAATAAAACTGGAAAATAAAAATGTGCTGAAACGTATTTTGCCTGCAGGATGTCAGCAGCTGTGACGATCAGTCGAGTCGCTGACAACTAATCAATTAATCAGCAACTATTTTGATCATTAATTATCAGTTTGAGTAACATTTTTAAGGAAAAAACACTAAATTCTCTGATTGAGGCTTCTTAACTGTGAATATCGTTGGTTTTGGGAACATTTTGATCAACAGTTTTCATCATTTTCTGACATTTAAGAGACCAAATGACTAATAAATAAGAAAATCAACAATGTAGATGATTATTGCCAAGTGTCTAGTTTTACCAAAGTAATCCATTCCTGCTTCAAACTCTGAGTTAAAACAAAACATCTAGAAATTATTTCTAGCTTACATGATTAGATTTAGTCTTAAAATATCCTAAAAATATTTGATTAAAGTCCTTGTGAGTCAAATTATTGTTAAACTTTGCCTTAAACATCCCTGAAAATATTGTTTAAAAATAATCACAGGTCAAACAAAACATCTCGTCTCAAATTTTAGTCCAAATTATTCAGAAATCGTGCTGCAAAAATTCCTAAAAATATATTTTATCAAGTCATTTTAATTCAGACAACATATGGAATGCCATTTTATCCCCTAATTATTTTAAAATTTTCCTTAAATGTCCATAAAATATTTGAACAAAGTCACTGTGAGTCAAACAAACCAACTACATTCTAATTTTGACCCAAATTATTGTTAAATTTTAACCTTAAGTGTCATTAAAATCACTGAGAGTCAAATTATTATTACATTTCGCCTTAATTATCAGTAAAATTAAGTCACTGTGGGTCAGACAAGACATCTCGTGTCTCATTTTAACCCAAACTATGATAAAATTTTACCTGAAAATCCTTCAAAGCTGCAGGATTGTGGTTGTTGCTCAACGCCCCACCTGCTGGTGGATTTCTGCAGCAACAGCTTCATCATGTCAGAGATGCAGCTTCACTCTCCTGCTTATAGTTGAATAAAAAGTTATCCTCTTGTTTTTGTGTACAGATTTGCAGCCAACAGGTTTATTAAAGCAGCGGTAAAGGACGTTTTTAGGACTGAAGCGTTTGTGAACCTGCAGATCTGTAAACAAACTGCAGCGTCACTCGAGATCATTTAAAATAAATCGGACAAATTAGGATTTTATATTGCAGCGAAAAATGAGCCCACAGTGAGGAAAAATGTGATGAAAGCAAAGAAAAACAAAATTTTTAAACTGTTTGGAGTTCAGAGAGTTAATCAGGTGAGTGTTAAACACAATACTGCCCAGGTTTAGTTATTATCTGCAATAATAATTATCATTTATCAGATATCCAGCAATGTATCTGACAATCTAGTTAGAAACTCACCACAAACACAAAGCTGGACTCCGCACCACCGTCTGCTCTGCTACACGTGCTGCAGAGTTGCTCCACAGTTTCTAAATTATCCTGCAGCATCTATTTCTGTGTTACGTTCTGTAAAATAAAGTTAAATATATGTCGATATATCGCTCAGGCTCCAATGTTAAAAGTAAATAACTTGATTTTTACCAAAACAAGTCAGAACATGAGTTCAAACTGAGGTTTACTTTTGGGTTATTCCATCTCAAATAATCAGAACAATTTGCTGGACCATCACTGAAATTTATAGCATGAAATATGGATATTTAAGGCAATATTTATATTGGTATATCAAACACTATCCTGAGAATCATTTTAAAACTACAGAATAACTGGACCAGACTATCAATATTTTAGTTTTTGTGCTGCAACTTGTCAAAACTGCTCAATCGGTTTTAAAAGTTTAACGAAACTACTTTTTTCCTATTTTTGTGATCAAGTTTTTCAAAACAAAAAGTACCCTATAGGTTTTGTTTTGTGTTACTGTGACATGATTCTACATATGATTCAGAAAATATCATTAGTTGACCTCTGAATATCTGTTTTTTGTTAATATGAGCTTGAGATGGGATATTTTCCCACATTTTAACTCACTAATAATTACAGATTATTTGTAGATTCTGAATCAACGACATGATGAGAAATAACAGTTAACATTTCAGGCTTTTTTCTTTAACGGTTCCTCAGATATTTTTGTTCAAACAGCCTCAAATTTCAATGTGCCACAAAAGCTGCTGAAAATGGGTCGATCAGCAATGTAAACAAAATAAAAAATAAGTAAAAAATGTGACATATTAGGCTTAAATTTCATAGATACCATTTTAAACAATCATAGTTTGATTTGAAGCAAATGTCCCTGATGATTTGAGATAGAAATCAACCCATTTTCCCTGAAATTAGAACCAACTTTACTTCCAAACGACTTCAAACCCGTCAAAGTTCTGACAAATGTGACTCAGTGAGAGAAAGAAAAACAAAAAGCATCAACATTCACAATCTAAAAACACATTTATTTACATCACGTGGATCACTTCAGCTGATAAAAACCATTAGCTGAGAGTCACAGCGCTGATCCGGGATCGCTTCCGTCTCCTCTGAGATAATGACTTCGGGGTTTCTGAAGGTTTTTCCTCCGTTATAATACTTTTCAAAGGGACGAGAACCCCCCGGAGCTGGTAAAGACTCACTTCCTGCTCGACAAAACCCAGCGGGATGCTTCTGTTGTACTTCATACACTTTCCAGTTTGAAATTGCAGACCTTAGCTTCTTTCCATTTTCACATTTTTTAGTCAGCAACATACAGTCACATGATTCAGGAGTAAAGAAACCGCTAAGAGATGCAACCCGCTGAGGTTTCCCGCCTCAAAAACCCCGTCGGCATCATTACCGTTCAGGAAACCACATCCTGGATCAGCGCTGCGACTCGAGAGCGTCGAGAAATGTGGGGTCAAAAACGCTTGTAGTGTTTTTTTGTTTTTTTTGTAGAAATTTCAGGCCTGGCGACCGGACTTATCTTGCTGCCAAGACAGTCTCGGCGACGAGGTCACCGGAGTTCAATGTTTCCTCTAAAATTCTTACCAAGAAGTGGGGAAAAAGGAGGAGGTGCTGGAATGAAATACCTGTAGTGGATGATTGTGATATCACATGTGGAGTATTGCAACTGCTCTCAAAGAGCTTTCGAGGAGGGTTTTATTATTTTATTTTTTTTAAAAATGCAAAAGGATCCGAACAGGCTCCTTGAGGAACCCCGCGGGCGTTTTATTTTCTGCTGATGAACCCTTAAGTGCTTTCTTACAAAGTACTCCAATGAGCCTCTAGCTTTTAGCTTACACAAAGCTCGACTGAAAAGTTAACTCTTGGCGGGCCGTTTTTAAACGCAGCCGGGCCGAGTCGAAACACAAGAAAAGTATAAATGAATGTAGAGGAAACACTGAAGTTCAACACGCACTTATAAAGATTCAGCTCAGAGTATATAGTTGATACAGGTATTTATGTTCTCATGTCTGTACAGATCCTAGACTGCTTAAAATAGTGTCGGGGGGGGGGGCAACAAGACACAAATGTTTCACTGGTAGTTTATATGCACAGCAATGTGAGGTGCTGGGCTGGAGGAGGTCGCGGTAGAAAATCGTAAAGCCCGCATGCTGGGAAAACCAATTCGTACACCTTCAAATGAGTCAAAACGGAGATTTGTTTGGCAAAATGGCAGACAGGATTGTCTCCAGTCGCTTTAACCAAGCAGAAGATTGGACGAAGACAAGCAAAGGTGCTTCTTAAAGGATTCTTGAGGAGCCTGGAAGAGGTTCGTCGGACTGTTCGCGGTCAATTCTTCTTTTACCAAAAATTTGCCTTTACTTTTGGTTGCTCAGAAGGCGTATGAACGGAGATCCCGGCTTGTTGGTTTTACGACTTTCTACAGGACAGGGCACAATCACACGAAACCAGCCAAACGCAAAGCCCTCTAAAGGTACACGGGGCCGGGCTCAATCCATCAAAGAACACACAATACTGGAATCCAGGAGTCTGAAGAACATTCATTCTCGGTCGTTTTTGTCCATAGACTGAATAGAAAGAAGCATGTTACAGTTTATATCTTTTTTTTTTTTTCTTTTTGAATTAATGAAAGTATTTCCTGAATTACAACCCACCCGCAAACCCCTCCCCGCCCCCCCTCCCCCCACAACTGACAACCGCCCCCTCCCAAAAAAAATCGTGCCAACTTTATTTCCGAGTTGCACCTGAGCTCTGATCCCCAAAAACCTCAGGCCGGTAAAATTATAAAATAAATACAACATATCAATATGCAAGGTCACGGATTTTTAAAAAAAAAATTAAAATGCTACAAGTTATTTGTGTGTGTGTGTGTGTGTGTGTTTGTGTATTGAAAGTCACTCCTGCAGCTGGTCCTACAGAAGTGTAGGGTAGTTTGCGGCACTGGTTGCATATAACTCGCTAGAACTTAGAAAAGCATAGTACTGAATCCCTGAATGGTATTTGTCGGTTTGGGTCAGTTTCGCAAGCGCAGTTTAAACTCAAGAACATCCGCCAGGGTCCACCTACGGTACTGGGACCGCCAACCAAATGCTAGCAAGTCTGTTTGCTGTGGCGGAGAGGTCTGTCGACGCTCGTGGCCACTTTGGCAGGTAACATTTGGAAGCTGCTTTTAAAAGCTTGGCAGCTGAAACACTGGTGAGAATTTGAAGACACAAACTTGAGGGCAAAAAAAGGGGTAATACTGGTGGTTTTTTTTTGGTGTTTGTGTCGAAATATCCTTCCGCTGTTGTTCAGTCGTGATGAAAACCCTTCATGAGACCAGGGAACGCATCGTGGTAACAATGAGGAAACTTCTTTTTAGCCGTATGGGGAACAAGTGAAGCTAACTCAAGAATTTGAATCCCTTTTCTACTGTAGGAAACCTGGTTATGGTTTTGGTTTATTTGCCACACTTTCTACCCCAAAGAAATCCCTGCGAGTGAGGTAGTACTTATTGAAGGGCTGCTGGGGTTTGCAGTACTGATCGTCCCTGACTGTTCACGAGGACTCGTAGACGGCGGCTGCGTTCGAGCAACAGTTAATTAAAAGACAGCAGAGCAGCATTAGGAAGCAATGCGAATGTTGTACTCGTGCTACAGTAAGTAAATAACAAGATGATGGCTTCAACTTCCTTCAGGTTTGCTGTGTTGTTGCAATATAGTGCGCTGAAGTGATATCTCAAACTTGTTGGACTTCTCCTGTCTTTATTCAGCAAATCTTAACTCTCAAGATCCTTTACTGTTTAGGTCCCATTATTATTATTGTGTTTTTAAAAGTGTCCTTAAGTCAGTCAGAATAGCTTAACATTCAACCAGTTTGGCCCTACTCAGTACACATTTGAGAAAATGGCAAAAACTCTATTGATACTAAACTGGGGTTCATGAAAGTGCTCATAAATAACGGAAGCTTCGACTCCCCGATCCAAATTTTGTGCAAGAGATTACTAATAAGTTATATACTTTTTTAGTGTTTTACTTGTGAATTCTGGCTCTTATTTCCTTGAGCTTTACAGTACTCAAAATACTACTGTCCTGAATGTGAACTGGTTTGGTAGAAAGAAGTTTCTTCACATTTTCCACGTATGCACCGGCGCTTGATTTTAAACTGCACCCCACGAAACCATCCCAAAGCTTGAGGAGAGACTGCAGGTCTGCCGGCACCAGTGTTCAATGTCCCTCGGAGGAAATAAAGACTCAAAAATGTCGCTGTTGCCTAAACAACAACGACAGATACATCCGTTTTGCCTGACATCTACAAGAGTAACTAATGTGGAGACGTAGAAATGGCACCAGGATGAAAGAGAGAAAGAGAGATTCCTTGCGTCGACTTGCTGAACCGTGGTTAGCCGTGCGATTGCTTGGTTACCATTAATGTTAGTCTGCATGAGGGGCATAAAAGTGGCAGTTTGGCTTTCAACACTTATTTTTTTAGTGAAAATTGTTGACCTAGAGCAGGATGGGTCTAACACTCAGGAAAAACCTAAGATATGTTATCCAGCGTGTTGTCCGGGGCTACAAAGGTCTGATCAATTATTCAAAAATGACCCCAGAAGTTCGCCAACAACCTGCTGAGCTTACAAGAAAGCATCAACAAGAGACAAAAAGATTGGTTAACTTGCTGATCAGAGTCGGAGTTGGAGACTTTTTGGCTTGATTCCAGAGATGGTGAACTCAAAAACTGGATCTATGGATCTACAAGGACAAAGGAGTACCCGTTAGCCTCATGTACCATCCACCCATCTTAGTGGGCCATGGTGGCAGAAGTCCTACGTAGTCCCTCCTAAGAATTCTGGGTCTTACCCTTTGGTTTTCTACCAATATCCTTTCTGGAAAGACCTCCAAAGGAAGGCAATCTCATTGGATACCCAAACCACTTCACCTGATCCCTACAAGCCCCTCACCCAATTTCTAAGGCCTACAGAGAAACTTAACCGTGGCCACTTATATCCATGATCTCATTCTTTCAGTTACTACCCACAACCCGTGACTATAGGTTGGAACTGGTAAATCGAGAACTTTGCCTTTCGGCTCAGCTCCCTCTTCACTTTGACATTCTGGTACAACATCTACGTTATTGTCGATGCTGTACCAATCCGTCGGTCCAACACCTGTTCCATTCTCCCATCTTTCATGAACAAGATATTGGCTGCAAACTACCTAAGTATGCACTGAGGGTGATGGCTTGATGAGGCCAACAGAATTACATCAGACACTGGGGCACTTTGATGAGCAAGCACCACATCGATCAGGGCTATTTATTGATCTGGTAAGGAGAAATTGTCTTTTTTGCATATCCCAGTCTGTTAGGAAGCTAGACCCCTGAGCAGATAGGTTTAAGGGCCTTACTCAAGGGTCTAGCAGTGGCAGCTTGACGGTGCTGGGGCTTCAACCTCCAACCCTTTGATCAGTAAGTAAGTGTAAAATGCTGAGTCACCACTACCCCATATAAACAAGTTTCCACCCAAAAAGGGGACTCTAGCATCCCGTTCATGAACATCACAAGCAACGTCTGAGACGAGGGGCGACCTTGGTGGAGTTAAACACCCACCAAAATGTGTTCAGAGAATATGAAACTGTATCAGCACTAGAGAATGGTGCTTATGTGGCGCTTAGCCCAGGATGCAGCAGTGGTGCCCCTGCAAACTAGTGTTGAGTTTTGTACCTGGGGAGACTTTTACTGATAGAGAAGACGAAAGCTGATCATCTGCATCCTAGAAGTGAAGCCTACCTCTACTTTATCTGTTGTTTCCAGTAGTCAAGGGGAAGCACAAATAGCAGCAGGGTAGGAGGATGCCACCGTACACCCACGGTCCCCTCTGGTTCTTTAGATTTAGCTCTACCTAAACACCTGTGTATAAAGATGGGCAAGGTTCAGTCAGAATCTAGAGACTGAACAGATCTTACAATTTAAGCTTCACAACAGCACGGCTAAACCTCTGCAAGTCGAGACGAGGCGAGACAGAGACAGATAAAGCGTAAGAATCAGCAAGAGAGGAGGTACTCCAGTTTCGAGACAGGTGAGGATGAGGAGGAGGTGAAGGATGCAAGGGGGTGGTGAGTAGCAAAGATTCCTGAGGTGTATCAAAAGAGAGCAGAAACTCTTGATAGTAATCCAAAAAACGATGTGTGCAATCAAATCAAAAGCAAGCTGGCTCAGCTAAATACAAATTCCAAAGTAGGGCTGGGTACAGCTGGGAAACCGCACTTCAAATCTTAAAATAAACAGACCAGGTGCTTTTTCTAAATAGAATCAGACAACAAATTTCACAAAATGAGAAGAACAAGATGCTCCAAGAGTTTGGCATCTTGGTTCTAATACCAAATAATAAAAGGTATCATTGGTTGGTACCCAGCGCTAATCCAGAGATATAAATCCATATATCCAGATCTCATGACCAAAATTAAGCTTGTCAGCGATAGATATTTACTCCGTTGACAGTTGACACGGCAAACCAAAACGGAAAATAAAATCACTTTAAACGACAACTTCATCATGGGGCTATGTTTTTTATCCCATTATCAGAAAATCTCCAAAAAAAACAAAACTAACGAAAGGAGAAAAAAAAAAAAATCAAAGTGGAGCAAAACTAGAGACTTGAGAGAAGGGGAGGAAACAGGGAGAAACTTGTGTTTACAGTGTGTATGGCCATGAATATCGAGGCTTTGCTGACTACATTACCCATGAGCGTCATGGCTGACAGCAGAGTGTTTGGAGGTCATGGAGAGCCAAGGTTGTGGAAAGTGTGAGCTATGACCGTGAACAGGGAGAGGGACTAATTTAAACTGTGTCCATTTGAACTGAGGTATACCTGGTTGAAGGAGGTTTATGGTTTTTTATCGTCGTAATGCTTGAAAATGGACCCCCCTCCCCCGTCCCCCCTTTAAAATAAGCTTGATTACCAAGTTGTCTGGGTCCATAATACACTATGTACAGCAGCATTACACTATAAACATTCAGAAGCCGTTGCTTATTGGCAGAACGATAGTCGTTTCTTCAAAAAAACGCACACAAGAAAACAGCAAATGTATCGAGAGCCAGGTGCTCGTCTTTTTTTCTTTCTGGTTTTTTTTTTTACACTAAAATGCACTGAGAGTTCTGTGAAATTTCTCCGCAAGATCTTCTCTCTCCGTAGAAAACCGAGCAGAACAGGTCGCCCTCCTATGTGTGTGTATGTATATAAAAACAATACATGATAAAAGTGTTCGTCGTCCCAGCACGGTCACGGCGCGGTGACGTCGTTTGTCGTGGTCAATATCCTGAATCGTCTCGACCGATAAAATGTTAAAATTCCTCAGGCACACATATCAAAAATGAGGTGGATATCAACTGATGTGGTGAGGTGGGCGCAGGGTGTTTCCTGAACGCGAGTAGCGGCCCGCACTTAAAAGAAAAAAATAAGAAGAGGAAAGAAAAAAAAAGACGCAAACGAAGAAAAAGAAAAAACAAAACAAAACTAAAAAAAAAAACCCACTAAGCCAACCAACCAGGGTCGGCTGTGTATCCCCTCGTGTTGATCCGTGTTTCCGCATCCGGCGTCGGCTGATTGGCTGATCATAAGCTGGACTCCTTGGGCGGGAGGTCCACGTTCGTCACCATGGTGACGACGGTGACGATCTCCTCGGGGCCGATGACGGGCGCCTGGCGCTGCATCTGGCCGATGCGCTCCTCGACGCAGCCGGCGGACAGGCGAGCCTCGGCCTCGTGGTCCCAGCAGTCCTCGATGGTCTCGCAGAGCATGGCCAGACCCTGGAGGACAGACCAGCGTCAGAGGATGAGTTTAACCCGACTTTTTGTTTGCTTTGGTGTGTTTACGTCATCTGATTTCTCTGCTATGCTACCGTCCACCTACCTAACCCTAAAGGTCGAGCTAGACAGCAGCCCTCCCTGAGCCTGGTTCTGCCCAAAGTTTCTTTCTGTTTAAAGCCACTTGCTCAGAGGGAATGTTGGGATTTGTTGGATTTTCCAATATTGTGGTTCTTAGACTAACTTTAATATATCTACCTAGGTATATTCACACAATAACTAACATAGCCGGGCCTTAACCTTCATATTTAAATTAATCAGGTACATTTATACACAATAATAAATATTTTAAGGTCTTAGTCAGGTACATTTGTTTCATCAATATCACACTGTAAGGTCTCAACTTTAATATTTAAATTACTCAGGTAACTATATAGAATATATAACAGTGTGGGTTCTTACCATTTAAATTAGGAATGTATATTAGAATTTTACAAATATTATCGGGCTTAACTTAAATATCTGAATTAGTTCGGTAAATTTGGAGTACATATAACAGTGTTTAAATTACTCAAATGTATATACAATAAAAATATAAATATATATATTTAAATTAGATTACATTTGTATTGTTTAGAATATTGGAGGGTGTCAACTGATCAATAAATTAGTCAGGTAAGTTTGGAGTATATACAGATATATATAAAAGGGTAAAAAATGTTATATTTAATTTACTCGAGTAAACTTGTATTCTTGTACCTAATATTGCAGATCTTAGTCATAATTATTTAAGTCGTTAGGTAAATTTCTCCAATAAATATTGCAGCATCTTAACCTGAACATTTAAACTTGTTGGGTAAATTTGCAATTAATTTTATTTCTCTGTTGGAAAGCTGTTAAAACAATATATGCTGTTAAAACAACGGAGACTTCACTTCACTTAAAAGGTACCATAAATTACACAGACATTTTATTCTCATTTAGTTTCTGTCAAATGACAAGACTCACACTATTTTTATGTTCCCAGATCAACTACAAATCTACCTATTTCAAACTGACAGCTAATAACACTTTAAAAGTCTTTTCCAGACTCGTTTTGGCCTCCCTGGTCTCTGAACACCTTCACAGCTACAACAAAAGTTTTCAGCCCTCACCGTGTGCTTCTGCCAGCAGTCCCTCAGACATGGTCGCAGCTTCTTATGCACCACCACCTCCTGCATGTCCTCCAGAGACGGATGCTGACCCACCTCCTCCTCGAAGGGCAGCATGTACTCGTCCACCGGGCCTGCAAACACATACGCAAAATTACAAACGGAATAAAAATGACGTGGTGTGGACTTGCGGTGCGTTTCTGTTCACGCCTCACCATCGGCGGCGGTGCACCGCGACGCCAGCTCCCAAAGGACGAGGCCGAAGGCGTACATGTCGATACGCAGGAAGGAGTCGCGCTGGAAGTTGATGGCGCCCTCCAGGACTTCAGGAGCCATGTAGCGCCGCGTTCCCACCTTCAAAGGAAGCAGATCGGGAGGTCGGTGTTAGCAGAAACAACTAAGAAAACCAAGACACAGATCTGATAGGGTGAAATTAGCTACATCTGTGGGATACTTTCTCCAACTTGCAGACTAGAAATGTCTAAACCTAAATCTTTCCAGACACGTCTAAGAGTTGTATAGTTATAGTCGAGAGCAGTGAAGGATGCTGCTGGAACTTTTAACAGTTTTACTTTCATTCACGACAGAGCAGTATACAGCGAGAGTTAAAGAAAAGGAGAATCTGAAACATCAATGTCGACACTGAACTCGTCTTTCCAGCAGAAATGAGAAACAAAACAGAAAAAGTTTGGCTCAAGGTGCAGCCAAAGGATGGCACCGGTCGGAAAATGTTTCAGATTTTCATCAAAAGTGTTGTTTTGCGATATGTCAATCTCAATTTAACTGTGTTTTGATTTGATTTGCAGGATTTCTGGTGATATTTTTGGGTGCATTTTGTAGCCTGTTCTAGATCGACCTCCCCAGGTGAGGAAATGACTGAATTTGTGTATATTTTCTCTCATAGCATCTCTGCACCTAAAAGCCAATAACGTCGCTACTAAACCAAGAAAACAATCTGATATTTCCCAGATTTTGTCATCGGCCTCCTAAATCCTTGGATTAATTTAACTCCTTCCTTTTTGTTCCTAGTTTTTATCACTTTTACTGGTATTTTGCCTCCTATTCAGTTAATTTGTGATGATAGTTTATCATTGGTACTTTAATAATTAAGTACAACAACCATCAGTTATTACAAATACCAGGGACAATGATGTTTGTTTATTTGTTTGTAATTTATGTGTCACACTTGTGATCGCTGTGTCTCTTATACCTGTCTTCAAATTGAAAAAAGACAAATCAAAAGCAAAAACAACACAATAAATCTTGACAGTAAGAATATGAAAGCTTTCTGGCCAACACTGCCTCCTGCAGGAGTGTTTCGATACTGTCATAAATCAGTCCTGGTACAAAAAAAGAAGACATTTATCTGTGACTCTACCTGTCCATGTGTGTCTCCTGCGGATTTTCCAGCCTCAAACTTCAGTGCAAGCCCGAAGTCAGCTACGCAGGCCGTCAGGTTATTCTTCAACAGCACATTCTTGCTCTTAATGTCCCTAAGACACAAACAGAAAACGTGTCACAACCATCCCGACGCCTTGACAGAAGCCGGGACGCTGGCGGATGCTTCTGTACCTGTGAGCGATGGAGGGCTTGTGGCCGTCCTTGTGTCCGGGGATGTCTTCGTGGAGGTAGGCGAGGCCGCGGGCCGCCGTCTGGGCGATGTGGCACAGCTCGTTCCAGGAAACAACGTTGGCCTTCAGGTAGTCCGTCAGAGAGCCCTGGAGATGGAAAGACACGCTCAGTATACAGTTTACAGGACAGAACGTTTAAATAATCCTCATACGCTTTATAGTAACGGAAAAGATTTGCTTTGAACACTTCATCTGTCAGTATTTGAAATGTTTGAGGAAGTTCATGAGCAACAAAACCTGCTGGTCGGTTTGAAAAAGCACGTTTCTTTTTCACTAAATGCCAAAATTACACAACTAATCACAGCCTGAAACCGAAAAAACAGAGAAAATCGTCACACTTTCAACTTTCTTTTGGTTATTTGTCCTGACGTAACTAAAAAGCAAAAAAATAAGAACAAAAACAACTATTTTTCTTGGGCAAACTCTCCTAATAAGCATCACTAAATGCCACAAATTAGTGAAATGACGGTGACCTTTGAATTAAACCATTTATCAGAACCAGAAAGTGTAAAACCAGAGAGGTTTGAAGGATATGGAATCACCTTTAAAGGGTTGTTTAACCACATATCTGTTGGGAAACGTAATCAAATCTCAGCTTACAATCGAGATATTTCATCAAAATCACGTCTCTTTTAAAACTTATTTAAAAATAAGCCATTTGCATGAAACAAATTCTGCAAAAAAATAAAAATTCTGCGCTCTTCTGTGCACCTACGAACCCATCGGTGACTCAGCTGCAACAAACAGTGAAATGATAAAAATGTACAGAGTTTTCAGGTGAACTGCAGGCAGTGTTTCCACAAAGCAGAATGTTTGAGAGCAAAATAAAACATAGTGGATCATGAAATGAATGCAGCGCGGTTTAGAAACGGTTTACAGAGGAGCAAGCTGTTGGAAGATACATTCAACACGGTGAAACATGTTTCTAGAGATGATCTGCAGACGCTGTAGAAATGTCAAAGAACAGTAAATATGTGGAGCCACCATTTCTCCCCAGCGTTGGGAACAGCTGTGGACAAGAATGTGGCACATGTTGATTTCTAGCTTTTGCAATTTTTGTAAAACAAACAAAAGAAATTCAGCTTAGACTTTATTTATTTTTTGCAAGTTTTATGGAGTTATAACTGTGTCAAATGGCACTGCACCATCCGCTGGGCCACGAGCCAGTTTTAAACTCAGCAACTGAAATAAAATCTCCTCAAAATCCCCTTGAAGTATAATTACAACAAGCTCTACTGCACTTCAAAACAAACCAAACAAACAAACACAGACGGCCCTAAATAACCGCGTACGAGCTCAGATGTTTGATTACCTCCTCTACAAATGTACAATCGTGTCCAGCAGTAACAGAATAAAAAGTATTAAATTACAGTATAACGAAGGGCCATTTGTAATGATTCCCACCTCTCCGGGAAAATGCAACGTTTCCATGGTAACAGCAATATCCCTAATGGGATGGAAATTCACTGAAGCTTGTGGGTAGTATTTGTATTTTGACTCCACAATACAGCAATAAAAACACGTCTCTGCCTGATTGAAAATTTAAATATCGGCATTTCTGGAGCGCCAGAGCCCAACGCTCCACCTCGATGGACCGGATTCACCGCCGAGTCCCTCCTGAACCCGGCTCGAGTTCTTCGGTCGCCTTTGTCACCGAGCCAACTCGCCGCACGTTTATTGTTCCCTGATAAATGCGATTCATTTATCTGCTCGCCGCGGTGGCGTCTGATCACCGCTCTTTATCTCAGTATTTATCGAGGGCAGGTTGGCTGAGCGAGCAGGGTCAACGCTTTGTTCTCTGCAGAGACGCATCTTTTGATTTTTGTATGCACCCAGCTTCCTTACATACTTTTTTTTTTTAAACATTTGAAGTAAATGTTGCAGGAAAACAAAGGAGTTATCATTTATTTTCGCTGCCAAGTTCTCCACCTTAATGCTGGGGCTGCATCTGTTTACCTCCTTATCCTTTGTGCTCCATCTTTGCTCTTACATAATGTATGTCAGTGTAATACAAGGTCACTCCCGGCAAGGCCAAAGACACGTGCAGCGGCGTGAAGCGGCCACTAGAGGGCAGGCAGCTCCAACGGATGCAACCATGTCAAGACTTTGCTGCTTGTGTGTTTGTACCTTCTGTGTTTCACTCCTGGGTTTATTTATCGTCCACTGTTTGAAAATGCAATCATATCAGCTTTTACTCTCCGCGACTAGATTAAAACCCAGGGAGTTTTCCAGGGACTTGTATCCGTTGAAACAAGCCGCTGCACGCTGCTGCTACTGCTGCTGCTGCTACAGATGCATAAAGCTGCTTAGATGCATCAAACAACGAGGCATAAATCAGCTGTCAAGGAGACGCTGAACTCTGCAATCACGGCTCCAGCTGCGTTACACAAGCCGAGGTTCAGTCCAACGTTTTGACACCTGCTCGCTTTGTAGGTCACTTTTAAAGCCTGCGAGAATAATCGCAGCGCATGTTTGACAAGGCTCTTAGCTGCTGGTGTGTATCTGGTAGTACGCCGCTTTTAAAAGCTCCTTCAAACCCGTTTCTTCGAGCAGCACTCGCTCCAGGGTGAAGTGGCTCGCCGAGGGTTGCATTGTTGCCGTCGAAGCCTCGCCGCCACACCCACAACCTTTAATTTTTCACCCTTTATTCACGCAAGGAAGGCTCCTTAAGCATGCAGATTCGGATCCTCGGTCTGGCTGGGAAGTTCCAGGCAAGCGAGGCGTGCAAGAATCGCTCTCCACTTCGTCGGTAATGACCCTCAAAACACAGAGGCACTTAAAAGCCCCCGAATGCTACAAAGACGGCGGCTGAGAGGGAGAGTGAAGCACATCAGGGCGAACGGAGCAGCAAAGACAAATAAAAAAAAAACCTAACCGCCGCGTGAGGCTTCTTGTAATTACAGCTCGGCTCTTAAGGCAGCGAACAGAATCAATACAACGTGATGGTTTCACGCGTGTTTTCCGGCGTTTACAGCTTCGTTAGCCGGCCGGCCGGTCGCCCCGGAGGTTTTCAGGTCCGAAAAGCAAAGAGCGCTTTATAAACTGAGTTTACAGCAACATGAGCAAAGCCGGGTTAGTGGAGGAAATCAGGCGGGAAATCAGGATTTGTTTACAAGCTGAAGTAGTGAACTGCTGCTGCTGGAAAACACAAGTCTGGGTGGAGCTTTCAAATAAAGTTTTATCCACTTGCAGAAACTTTTACTTCTGTCTTCTAGGAGGATGCCACTAACAATCATTTATCTATCGATTATTCTATTGCCTATCTTACTAATTAGTGAAATCTCAAAAAAAGGGAAGTTATTTATTTATTTTTTAAGTCACTAAAATTGGAGCATTTATCGTCGCAACTTTCTGAGCTGCTTCAACTACAGATACTCGCCTGGAAAATTAATTCAAATCACTTTATTCTACAAAATTATTCAAAAATAAATCACGTAAACTAACCAGATTATGTAAAAAAACTAAAATTTAAAAAAAAAAATTGCACTTTCACTGCCTCAGTTCTTACCAACAGTTACATAACAAAAAAATGTAGTTTCCGGTTGAACTGCAGGAGCGACTGAGAGCAAAATAAGACACACCAGATCGATAAAATAAATGCAACGTGGCTCCAAAACCATCTACAGAGGACACATTCTGCAAAGTGAAACCTCTAAAGCGATCCAAAGCCTAAATACATGCAGATATTTCGATCCTGCATGCATGCTGTGAAATGATAGTAATATTGACAAGAATAAATCTGCAAGAACTAGATCTTGGAAGAACTTTTTAAAACTTGCAGGCTGTGTTTACATAGATATCCATGTTTTTTTTTTGTCAGATTTATGGCTCTCTAACTGTGAGTTCTCTCTCCTTCTAGTCCTGGTTGTTCTGCTTACATGGAGGTGTATGACTTTATATTGCAGTGAAAAGAGCATTGAAGCTAGCTTAGCTTAGCTTGTCGGGTTTCAAATCAACCTTCGAAGCTGCTGCAGGACCAGATTCCACATTTGAGGAGCGCAAAACCTCCACGTGAGAGAAGCAGAACGTTAGCTACCGCCTCATGTGTGGAAGGGCGTAGCGCTCCTCGCTCTATTCTGTGTTCAGAAATGAGTCAATAAATGAAAAAGACTAAATTCAGCAGTTTGCTGGTGGGATATCTGCATCGCTGACAGCGTACCTTGTCGTGGTAGGCGGTGATGAGCCACAGGTCCAGGTCCAGGTTGTTGTTCCTCTTCTCCACGCCGATAAAGTGGAGGATGTTGTCGTGCTTCATGCCGCTCACGCTGTAGATCTCGTACTCGTTCTGCCAAGACAGCTTGTCCTGGACGAGAGCAGGGAGGCAGATGTTATTTAGAGATACCAGCACACCTGATCAGCCAAATTATCAGTTACAGGAGATCTGGCAGGAGGGAGAGGAGTGTTAGAAATGATCGTTAACCCTCTGAACGCCAAGCAGCTCTGGACACTGCAGTATGAAGTCCTGCACCGCCAGTATTAGTTTCATAAAAGCTGAAATAACAACAAAGTTATGCCAGAAATTATAAAAATTAAAAGTTGAATTTGTTCGATTATATTTTTAAAAATGTCTGCTGGAAACTCTGACCGATGAGTCACTGGTGGTTTCACAGTTGCAGCAAGAAGTGAAGATTTTTATCTATGTTTTGTTTTTTACAGAGTTTGGATCCTGAAGATGTTTGATGATTTTTGGCAAATTTTTAAATGAGACATGCAGAATAAAGTTGATGAAATATCACAGTTTTAGGATGAGATTTAGATTCGAGGATTCTTTCAAAGTTAAATTTCTTTCATTATTATATTTACAAAAGTTGAAAAAACAGGAATAAATCAGGATTTTTAAAAAAATAAAGTCTGATTTGAGCAAATTTTTTATTTTTTTATTTTTTAAAAAGGAGACACGCAGAATAAAATTACTTTGATTAAAAATCTAAACTATAATTTGAGATTTGGTTCATTTTCCCAACAAAACTGATGATTAGTTCAAGTACCTTCAGAAAGTTGGAAATCTAATGATTCTCTGACAAATGGTGCAATTTCACCGATTGTTTGAAACAAAAATATTCATTTCCAAATAATTACTTTGGTTATCAACATGTTCAACATACTCCCAGGTGCTCACATGTGTTACTGACATTATATACGATCGTTTATATTTTTAATTGTAGCGTAGTTTCCAAACTCTATTGAATAAACACAGCCTGCAGTTCAGTCGAGACGTCCCAAATTTTTGTTCACATGTCAAATTTTTTGCCTTTTTGCAGTATCTGCTTGAACAAAATGGTAAAACATGTTGAATAAATTGATTAAATATCATGATTTTAACCTTAGATTTGGTTAATTTTCCCGACACAACCAAAAGTCACACGTGATAACTTCAAAGACTGTCAGAAAGTTGACTATTTTTCAGTTTTGTTTTCCAGCTCTGATAAACGGAGTCATCTTTGTGATGTTTGGGGCTCAGAGGGTTAACAGATCTTAAACTGTTCAAACAAAGCAGATAATACCTGAATGGGGAAGATCTTGACGGCCACGTAGTCGTTGAGCAGCTGAGCTTTCCAAACGCAGCCGAAGCGCCCCCTGGCTTTGACCTCGATCAGCTGCAGCGGTTTGTGCCCCAGAACGGGGGACGGGGGTGAGGGTCCGGGATCCTAAAAAAAGAAAAAAAACAACACAGAGGACAGTGTTATTCTTTATTCCTGTTTCTGCGGAGCATTAAAATAGCAGCGGCTTACGCTGAAGGTGACCGGGCTTTTGGCTCGGCGACAACACGCCTGAGGAGCTTAGGCCAGCAGAATCACCAGCACCATCCTCACATCTTAAATCTTACTACTCATATTTATAGACCTGCTTTCATGTGCCGGCGCCGTTTCTTTATTTATTTTACATTTCCGTTGTTTGGAGAGTCCCGCTGCGTGTTTAAGTTGAGTATTATTATCATCGGCGTGAAGTTTTTCTGGCAGCGAGGACGACGCATACCGGGCAGGGTTTGGATTCATTCATTAAGAATTCAATTAAGCCCCTCAGGGCTGCGTTTGCTCGAGTTCACAGAAACAGGATTGTAGCTGGAAGGTTGCCAGTTTGAATGCAAAGAGCAGCTGAGGAAACCTCGACCGCCACTGAGCAAGGCACCCAGAGCGGGCTTAATCACTGACTTCAGGCCGGTTTTGGGCGTTTAACCGCCGTCGTCAGGTCAAACCTCACGCCATGTATTCATGCTAATCCCACATAAACAAAAGTGAGAGCAAGTAAGCCAAGTGTTCCAAATCCAAAGTAGGTTAAACACAGCTGGTGATCGGGATTAAGCCGATCACTTTCACATGTGACTTCACAGAGAAGGACAGAGGGCGAGCGAGGATAGCGATGCACAGGGAGAGAGAGAGAGAGGGGGAAGGTTAAAAAGAAGCATGCAGCGAGGGAGTCACATTTCCAGAGGATAAAAGGTAGAGGAGAAAGACTAGCACATGACTGATGGCCTTTGATGAAACCAAATATGCTGCTGTAAAATCTCGACTTTGCCTCCATGCCTGCGCCGGTGAAAAAAGAAGAAGAAGAAAAAAAGAAGAAGAAGAAGCTGTTCATGTTTTCACTTGAACCGAAGGCGCCTGATAAGCCGGAGCAAGTTTCAGGACCCCGAGGCCCACAGGATCCACTCGCACACTGTGATAATATATCAAAAAAGTGCACACTTGTCAATCCCAGTCTGTTTTTCTAACCTCACATAAAAGGCCCCCTTTGGAGTTACAAGGTTTGCTGCAGATACGAGCGACAGAGGAGATTTAATAGACGGAGACAACACTCAAACCGATGACTTATCTCGGGCTGTGCGGGGGGATAAAAAGGTGCGTTTTACTGCCGAGGTTTTTGACACCAAACCTTCCTTAAAAAACCGGCGGTATTCCCGCTGCGAGGAACGAGCTGAAGCGGCGCTAACAGACCAAAGCCGGAAAGCGTTTAACTGCACGAGCAGTAAAAACGGGGGAAAGAAGCGGCTTCGGCGTTTTACCGCCTGTCCGGACACGACGACGGAGGCCACACAAGCAAACTGTAAATCACTTAGCAGCAGCGTTTACGGGTTCGGTTTTTATCAAGTTCGAACTTTACGGCCGGTCGTGACCTTCGGCCTTTAGCGCACACAAAAATAAAGCACCTGAAAGATTGTCTTTGATGCATTTGAGTCAACTGTATTGTTAAGCTTTTATGATTTAGGAGGGAAAAAAAGCTCCAAAGTTTGATGTAGAAACAGGAATTTAAAGCAGAATCGACCTTGTTCAGCGTTTAATCTTGCAGATGTGTTCTGTATGCTCGCTAAAAATGGGATTTGTAGCCTCGACTTGCATAAATTATGCTGTTTAAATGCAGCTAAACACCATTTTTATACTAATTAGGAATCAAATCAACAGATAAATGTAAATTAGGGAGAGAAAACCTCAGCTACTGATAAATTAAGCTGAAATTTTGCAGAACAACATTAATATTAAGTCAGTTAAATGTGTGTAATTTATAATATAGTGTGGTGGTACTTTATATATAATATTGTACATCCTTTATCTCGATATTTAGATTATATTTAGATCATGTTGTTCAGTTCTTAACATCAAAAATCATCGGTTAAATTTGTAATTTATAAAAAAGAAACAAGCTTTTAGCCTTAATATTCAAATTTTTCATGTGTTCATACCAACAAAATGCAGATAAATAAGATATAAATAAGATAATTTTTTGGTTTTAAGAGGACAACACAGTAAACATGACACTCGCTAACCCTGAGCGTTAGCATCACAACTGCTAGCGTGTTATATCTGGCTCGACGCGTGAGCCTGCTAGCGCGGCTGTAGATTTAGCTTTGTTAATATCTAACTTATATTTAGTGCCTCCTCCTCCTCCTCCTCCTCCTCAGCCAAATTGCTTCACAGGGATAAACAGGTTTCAGGTTTTACTAACAGTCTGCCAACAGCTCTGCAAGAATAAAGCGAAATCTGGTTTGTGCTGCTGTTTTTCTTGGTGCGTGTCACGCAGAGCAGGTCTGCACAGGATTCGGTTCTCAGCTCAACGGACTGCGATAAATTATTGCAAATCCTAATTACAATTATTATGCTCACTGCTTATGGCAAAATACACGCTAACACAATGAAACGAGATGGTAAAGGCAGTAAACATTACACCTGCTACACCTGAGAGTTAGCATTAGCTTGTTAAAGGTGGCTAAAAGCATCACAGAGACGTTAGCGTGTCTTAGCTTAGCCAGAGTGCTCCCCAGGTACGATGAGAGTTTTTGTCTGCCAACAGCTTTGCAAGAATAAAGCATGTAAGAAAAATCAGATATTTGCTGGTTTTTTATTTTATTTTTTTGCAGACCGTCCGTGCCTTTTAGTTTCTGCCTGGGCAGTGCAGGGGGGAACGGAGGATTCGAGTGGGAACTGGTTTGTTTACTTAAAGCCTTTTCCCTCTAACAGAGAGCTGCGAGGCAGACCTGCTGTCTGCACACTGCTTTCACACCAAATGCCAGCCAAATGACGGGGAAAATTACCCACTGTGGCGCTGAGGTTGGATTACAGAGCGGCCCAAAGGTTGGCAACCTTAAAAAAAAAAAACATCTTCAAGAGCACATCGCACCAACCAAAATAAAGAATCTATAGTTTCACACAAGCGTTTCTCTACATCTGTTCTCAGTGCTGTTTTGTAAATATGGGAATGTGAAGAATTCAAAGCGGATATCGTGTTTCAGACCGCCAACGACTCCGAGCTGCACGTAATGTATTCAAGTCGGAGCCTCTTCATCATATCAGAAAGTTAGCGGCGGTTTGATGAGTGACCCTTATTGATTTATTCACTGAACTCAAAGGGTTTGGTGCTTGGCAGGCTGTAATTCCAGACCTTGTGTATGAATGTACTTGGCAACCCTCAGTCATTTGGCAGCGCCGGCAGCGTATAGAATAACTGACAGTGAATGGACGCAGATCTGGTTTCTCTCAGTTTGGACTTTTAGATAAACCTGCTGCGGCGCGGCGGGCAAAAGTGAATCTGGGCGGCTGGACGGTCGCTGACAGTTGGAGGGAAAGTGCGTCGAGCATGACCGCATGAAACGAACGGGTCACATCGGTGGCGCTGCTCTAATATGAGAAAACTGTACAGACACGCAAGAGCAGACATTTCAATGCACAGCTGGATGAATAGATCGTTGTTGGGTTTTTGTTGGGCGATTTTTCTCGTGTTTTTAAGCTGATTCAGCGTCACAACTTCTTTAGAATTCAACAGAAAGGCCCAGTTTTCACTTATCTGAATGTTGTGTTTAGTTGTGGCTGCACCAATAGAAGAAAACATCCTCTACGAGTAAAGACAGGTCAAGGTTAGGAATCTGGGTTCATTATTGCCTATAATATAAAGTCCTGCACCTCCACCATGAGCCATGAAGAAGTAGAAAAAAAAAAGATGGAAAGATGTTTCCCCATGCTGAATGTATCTCTGTTTATTTCTGTTTTATTTTGCTCCTCAGTTTCTCTAATTCGTTACCAAACTTCTCTCTTCTAGTTTCATTTTTTTTCTTTTTTTACAGCTCGGATCCTGAAGATGTTTGATTTTTAGCACATTTTTAAATGAGACAAGTAGAATAAAGATTTTTCCCGAGTTTTCTTTCAAAGTTGAATTTCTTTGATTATTATATTTACAAAAGTTGCCAAAAAAAAATCTGGATTTATTCAAAAATGTGTGTTTGGTTTTTTAAAGAGTCTGATCAGAGCATAGACTTATTTTGGACATTTGTTAAAAGGTGAAATATAAAGTAAAATGACTTAAAAATCTAAATTCTAACTTGAGATTTGGTTCATTTTCCCAACAAAACTGATGATTAGTTCAAGTCCCGTCAGAAAGTTGGAAATCTAACGATTGTCTGGCAAATGGAGCGATGTAGCCGATTGTTTAAAACAAAAAGACGTATTTCAAAGAATTATTTTAGTTACTATATTTACAAAAGTTGAACAGAAATCTGAAATCAACATGTACAATATTTTCCCACGTGCCCACAGGTGTTACTGACACTACATATTTATAGTTTTAAATTTAACTCCATACTGTATTGAATGAACAACCTGCAGTTCAGCTGAGACGTCCCTAAATCTGTGTCACATACCAAATTTTTGCTTTTTGCAGAATCTGCTTAAACAAATGGTTTATTTTTGGCAAAACATGTAGAATAAATATATTAAATATACCTTAAAAGCAGAATATTTGCAAATTTTTTGTTGCATGACTGTCGGTCGCTGTCGAGGCTTCTCAGTTGTTTATTTTTGGAGATTTTTTTGACATGTGGAATAAGATGTTAAGCTCAACTTTTGTGACGTTATCCACACGTCACACATGATTATATCAACAATTGTCAGGAAGTTGAAATGACTCATTCTGCTTTTACAGCCTGCACAGATTTTACACCATCTGATGCTTTTTGAAACAGTTTTCCAAACTCAGAGGGATTGATGTTGGAACATCTAAACGTATCACCCTACAGGAAATAAGGAAATCCAGAGAAACGTTCTTTGATTCTGAATTATCAACTCTACAGGCGAGAAATTTAAAGTGGCCTGACAACAGATAATAAAAGAAGGACGTTTGCGTCCCGAGAGCAATTAAACGTGGCGGGTCGGAGCAGGGACAG